TCTAACTTCATCATACACAGTCTGACCAGATTCAACCTACAAACCCTGCTTGTATGGTATTTCATACTTGTATCTACTTGTCACTGAAATTTTATAGACAAAATCCAGCTTCTCCTGTCAATCACCAACCAATATCCCCTAGCGATAAAGGAGCAATTCATCTAGGTTACTCAGAACATCATGAATGTGTTTCTTATCCTCCTCTGTCGGCCAACAGTACCTGAGATCCAGCTTCCTCAGGGCCTCTGCATGTTTCAAGTACAAGCACCATGAAGTGGCTGTACCAGCCAGGTCTGTATTACCAGAAACGATCAATGAAACCAAATTGGATAGATTCTTGACTGACTCAGCGATGTGTGCCATGTTCTGTCCATTCAACGAGCAGTTGAACAAGCTCAGCTCCTGCAGGGGCTTGAGCTCCTTCAGATGCATTCCTCATGATGCTGCTGTACCAACAAGGTTTTTACCAGAAACATCCAATGAAACCAAATTGGGTAGATCCTTGACTGACTCAGCAACATGTACCATGTCCTGTCCATTCAATGAGCAGTTCCTCAAGTTCAGTCTCTGCAGGGGCTTGAGGTCCTTCCGATACATTCCCCGTGATACTGCTGTACCACCAAGGTTATTATGAAGAAACATCCAATGAAACCAAATTGGGTAGATCCTTGACTGACTCAGCAACATGTACCATGTCCTGTCCATTCAATGAGCAGTTCCTCAAGTTCAGTCTCTGCAGGGGCTTGAGCTCCTTCAGATGCATTCCCCATGATGCTGCTGTACCAACAATTTGATTAAGAGAAACATCCAATGAAACCAAATTGGGTAGATCCTTGACTGACTCAGCAACATGTACCATGTCCTTTCCATTCAATGAGCAGTAACTCAAGTTCAGCCTCTGCAGGGGCTTGAGCTCCTTCAGATACATTCCCCATGATGCTGCTGTACCAACAAGTTTATTAAGAGAAACATCCAATGAAACCAAATTGGGTAGATACTTGATTGACTCAGCAACATGTACCATGTCCTGTCCATTCAATGAGCTGCTACTCACGTCCAGCTCCTGCAGGGGCTTGAGCTCCTTTAGATGCATCCTCCATGATGTTGTAACATCAAATTGAATATCACAGAGAGACAAGCTAACTAAGTTTGGTAGATGTCTGAGTGACTTAAGGACATGTGTATTTTCATTGGCAGTGTTATCAATGAACTTTGCATCATGCAGATTTGTCATTGCTGTCATGGCAAAGGCAATATCTTTGATAGACCTTGTCAATTCACAAGACCAAATAGTGAGTGTTTTTATTTTATCAAGGTGAATACTGCCACTGACCTCTGCAACACGTCTCAGAAAGTATGCCACTGAAAGCAATGTATCAACATTAAGACCATCAAGCTCGATGCTATCACATAAGACTGCTTGTATGAACTTCTCAGGTGGAAGGTACTTACACTGACTTTCAAAGTAACAGTGAAGTGCCAACTGACCCACCCTATCCTCAACTGACAAACGATTCTTACACTTCTCCAGAAACACATTCAGTATTTCAAATGTACATGCCTCATTTCCTCCACAACAAAAGCGCAGAAGATATTCAAAATCCACTGGGCTTTTTGACATAATTTTATTCAGAATCTTCTGAAATTCTTGTGTGTCTACTTCAAACAAGTTCTGGAGGTATAAAGCAGAACAGAATTCCTGGAATGTCTTAGGAATGAACTGCACACTGCTGTGGGGGACTCGTCCCTTGACGACTCTCTGTGTGGTCAAAATACCTGCTTTTAGAGCAAGGCTAAGCACACCTGGCTCAAAGTCACTTTCTTTAAAAGACAGCACTTGATCTGGAAAAAGGAGACCCTGCAAACCAACCTTGCCAAGTTCAATCACCACCCTTTTTATTTCTTGTTCTGACACATCTTTTCTTTTTCCAACTTCATCAACTGCATTATGATATAGGCCTGACATTGTTTCTGGAAATTCAGAATCTTCACTCCACAGGGAACACATCATGAGAAGCAACATGGGACTCTCTGCCAAAACTGACAAAAGGTCTGAAGATCCAATCCTTGTCAGAAGCCCCTCTGCCTTAGTAGGTTCATCACAGTAAAACTTGTTCACATACTCAGTGATGTCTTCTTCACTGAACCCCATGACCCTGACATGTGTGAATGGTTGTTGAATCAGTTCCTTTGTTGTCAATCTGACTAAGTGGGAGGGGCGGGTGCTCACAAGTACGGTGCAACCTCTACACATCCTACGATTGAGTATTTTCAGTATGGAACCAAATGAGGATTTGTTGAGGATAGTGGTCCTCAACTCATCAAAGCCATCCAAGAGAATGAGGACTTTGCCAGAATTCATCTTGATGTATGACCCCAGAGCATTCCTGTCTACACTTGTGTTTTCTGCTAGGAGTTGCTCAAAAACTGCATCAATAAGATCCGACTCCTGCTTCAGATCACACATTTTCAAAAGGAAGACCAGTTTATACTTCTGTAAGACCTCGCAAGAGCCAAATGCCCAATCATATGTAATCTTGCCAAAAAGAGTGGTCTTTCCTCTACCAGCCAGCCCACTTAGTACAGCCATTGGGATCAGTTTACCTTCTCTTGTTTTCAGCAGGAACATATCCTCATAGGATTCAAAGGTGCATTCTGTTTTTCCCTCGCCAGTGATCAGCTGTAACTTGGTGAACATGTCCGCAATGGGTTTTTTGAGATCATCACACCATGGGTTCATCTCTACAAAGCTACCTGTCTCATCGTAGTGTGACTTCAGTTCATCTTCACAGATATTAGCAGCATTCAGGGACTGGACATCAGACGCACTGTATTCTAAGAGTGAAATTTTCACAAAACAAAGAAACAGAACACATTATTCCAAGTTTCTGATAAGAAACTCTGAGGGACCATTGTGACTAAATTGAATCTTTGCCACAACTGTTCAAAAGCCGAATTCAATATGACAGGTGTGCATTTTTATTGTCATATTGTTGCATATCTGATCCAGAAAGAAAAATAAATCAAGTGAATTAATGCTGTTTTTAAACCTGTGGTATTTTGGAATTGATATTATTGTAGGCATTTTGACAAGCAAATCATGGCCTACTGTTACTCAACGACCTATCAAAATTATTCAAGCAATATCAAAATCTATTTGAGTTTCTTCTATTTCGGCTCAGTTTTCAGTATTTCAGTCTTGGTAGTGGGGTACAATAATTTGTTCTGGAAGCAACTACGTGTATATTTCACTAATATATTTGCATCACTGTGAAAGAACAGATTTTGGACTTTACTTCTCGTAAAAAAAGATGCTGTTCCACAATAGAGGGCATTTGTGTCATATTAGGCTTATGAGTAACTGAAAACATATCTAACCCAAATAAACAGGATTCTCGCCATTTAACCAAGTATAAAAATGATTTTTAGAAAATTCTTTTTCAGGCTGGATAATTAAAAAGTTGTCATCTGTCTGAAAAATCGTCGTGGAGGGCAGCATGTAAGTTGGCCAAAGTATGACGTGATACGTGGGAGTAGTTCTGGCTGGGTACTTTAATCACACTCCGCGCAACACGGTCCACGCAGTAATCCTGCATGATGATATGAAAGCATATGAAGGCATGGCAATGTAGGCCTGCCCCATGTAACGTATGGAATCTGCACTGTAGACGTCTTGGCCCAGCTAAAGTCAGTAGCAGCAGAGATTTGCAGTAGATAAAACTTGTCACATACAACCAAAGCCATGGCATGCCCTAGAACTGTCTTGTTGGTGGATGCCACCCTCCACAGAATACAAATTTCCACTACATACAAATGTAGTGGGGATACCATTGTTCCATGCTGGTGATGAGTTCAGCTTGGCTCCAGTTGATCTGACGGTCTTCAATGTAGGAGTGCTTGATTATTGATGACTTTTCAAGCTCTACCTTCCTGTCATGAACTTTGTGCTCGTTGATTCGAGTGGGGAGGTCCCTGCCCATCTTGCTGATGTACACTTTGCCACATTGTCAAGGAATTCTGTACACCCCTGGTCTGCGCTGGGGGTCCTGCCGGTCCTTGTGCCAGGTGAGCAGGTTGTGCAACTGCAGTGGGGCTGTGTAGAAAACTCGAATACCGTGCTTGTGGAGAATGTGCTGGATATGGTGGGAAGTACTGCCCAAGTAGGGGAGGGTGATGGAACTTGGGGCCCTAACTAGTTGGCTTTGGGTATAGGAGACCCTTCGGCCGGGGGTGGATCTGGGATCTTGGGTCTTGACTTGGCTTGTATCCGTTATGTTGCAGTGCTGCAGTGATGTGGTGGAGTTCTTGGCCGAGGAATTCTTTGTCGCAGATGTTGTATGCCCTGCGGACAAGGGCCCGGTTGACAGACGACTTGATCTTGGGGTGGTGGAAGGACGTACTGTGGAGGTATCTGTCCGTGTGGGTGGGCTTGTGGTAGACCGTGCGGGCTAGGCTGACGTCCTCCTTTCTGGTCACCTCAACATCAAGAAACGAAATGTTGCCATTACGTTCTTGTTCCATGATGAACTGGATGCTGCTGTGAAGTCCGTTGAGGTGTTCCAGAAAGAGTTGGAGGTTGTCCTGCCCATGCTGCTAGACAATGAAAGTGTTGTCCACATATTGGAGCCAAACTTAAGGTCAGTGGTCTGATGTGTTGATGGCGAGCTGCTCAAATTCCTCCATGAACATGTCCACCAGAACCGGGGATATAGGAGATTCCATGGAGGTTCCAGCTGACTGTTCGAAGAATTTGTCCCACCAGCAGAAGCTCGATGAGTTGACAAAGGTGAGGAGCATGTCATGCAGCTGTTCTGGAGTGAGGTCTGTGTGGTCTTTGAGGACAGGGTCTGCTGCAAGTCTGTCCTTGGCGATGGTGTTGGAGGTGGGGGCGTAGCGGAACGTCTTCCTTGTGGATCTTCGGCTGTAAAAAGAACCTTGAGCACTTGGAATTGGAAGGCTGGAGCTGTCTGTAAAGGGGCTAGG